CCCCAAAACCCCAAAACCCCAAAACCCCATGATACAAAAATATAGTATAAAATCGAATAAATTTTGTCAAAATTTCATATTGTTAAAAATTTGCATTGCCTTCGCTTGATAGCGGAGTTTTATTCTAGGATTCAAGATAAGTTTAGGGGTAAGATCTCTTGAAGCTCTGTCATACTTAGATGATTCAAAAGTCCTTGAAGGCGATTGTATAAATTTTATATTCGCTTCATTAATTTCCTCATTGAATGGCGTAAAAGTTTCTAGATTATATTTTGATCTCACAACTTTCATTTACCTCTATGCTGTCGGTACTCTGTGCAGATTCTAGCTTGAAGTTGCTCTTTCTTACCTTCTTTCTCTTATTACATCTTCAATGCTAATTTGAGTAGGATTTTTATCCTTTAGCTTTTCGTTTAAATGCTTATCATCTAGGACAGATACGCATTTAAGCGGCTGCTTTACACTTTACTGTGCTGATTCCTTCAATTATTCCTGAAGTCTCAGTATGCTTGAGCAAGACTTTAGCTATTGTTAATTAACTATTGATGAGACCTTGCTAATCATATTAGGTGTTTAATTGTAGACCTTAGATGATCTTATACTTAAAGATTGATTCTTAAAGTCAAGCTGCTTTAAAATTGACATTGGTACCCTGTCCTTACTGTCTATCGCTATTTGGTAACTGTTAAGCGAATTAACAACCTCTTCCTAGATTATTTCTTTTGAGCTGTTAATAATTGTTTTTTGTTTTCTATTGCCTTCCTTTGAATTTGCTCTAGAAATACTCTAATTAGTAGCTTCTCCAGTTCTGACCATTAAGTTTTAAAAGTAAGGTGCTATATTCTCATATTCCACAAGTTAAAATCGAGATATAGGCTAGCTGTAATCCACTATCTTTTCTTCAATAATGCCGAATTCTGGGAAGCTTAATTTTATATCATTTTTACTGTGACTTTGCTCTGACTTTAAAAGCTGTTTTAGCTTTATGTAGTTGTCTGGATTATAAAAATCCTGCTTATCAAAGATTTTTTTGCTTTGATTGTTTTTGAGTATTTGATTTAAATAAATTTTTTATTTGCTTTCCCCCTTATTCTGATCAACTTCATATGTACTCATCATTGTAGTGCTGTTTACATTTTATGTGTTATTATTATCGTAATGCATATGCCTATTATCAAAACTAATGCTCTGATTGCTTTCCTTGATTGCTTTAGATTAACCACTAATTGTAGCAAAATTATATTTAAAGGTATACTTACATTATAGAAGGAGGTTCTACTGCATGGAAGGTTCTCGTAGTCTTAACCTTATTATGCTATTTTTCTTTTTTATCTGACTTCTTTATTATACTACTTTCATTTTGGCTCTGATTTGACTTGAATTATTCACTACTCAAATTTATCAGCTGAGGAAGTCTTATTATATTTCTTTTTCTTTACTGTTTGATAGATCTTCCTACTATTTAATGCTCTAACTGTCATTGATTGCAGATAACTGTTTGACCATAAGGGTAATTACTTCTTTGCTTTAGCTACTTTTGCTGTTGAAGTTTTGTGGAAATATAATCCTACGATTTAATCATTTTGAGTAATTATAATAATAAAATATTAATGATTGTTTCTTTTTTAATGAAAATTGAGGGATTTAGAATTAAATATGATTAAACAGCAGCTTATGAATTAAAATTGAATTAGAGAAAATTATAAATGTATAAGGCTTGGGGGGATGCTATAATAATATTTTCAACTAGTTTCTTAGTATAATCTTAATAAATTAATAAGCAGGGAAATCACAATCTTTTTCAAACAGATGCTGTGTCATTGAATCAAATGCTACAGCTTTTATCAGGTAGGCTCATCTAATCATAGTGGAGTAGGTGTGCTTAGCATTATTGATATCTTGTTGTCTCTTGATATTCTCTTGAACATTACTGACAACTTCAGTTCTCTTTCTATTGGATGACATCATTAGATTTTCCTCTTATACTCTCTTCAGCATCTCTCTCTTGGCAATCTCCTATTGTCTAGCTGCCTCACATTGAGATGTGAATAAATCATTGCATCTCTTGGTTTCGAATTAGTCTCTTCTTTGTTCGTCTTTTTTCTTTGTGTTTTACCAGTAGACTAGATTGTCACATTCGTTGTGATAGGTTTTTGCTAGCTACTTTTATTCTTCTTTGGATCCATAAATCTAAATTCTACGGTGCTCGTGTACTTGCTAAAGAGAATTAGTTAATTACTATTTCAATATAGTAGAGTATATCGACTTCATCTTGACTTTAGCTTTTCTTAAGATATAAAGCTAAGATGAAGTCTTGATAGCTTAGAGGGAGGAATCTGAATTAACACTTACCGACATCTTCTCTTGCTTTCTCTTGAATGAATCAACTTATTCTTCAGCCTCTTTATCCTATAGAAATATATAAGAGCAAGCAATAATTACAGCAAATGTGTGATTTTTATTGACGCTCTTCTTTGACTTGCTAAGTAAGATGCTACCTCTATTGTAAAGTCCTCCTTTCTCCATTATTTCTATTTTCTTTATATCTCTTTATTAAATAAATTTAATTTTATTTACTTTAATACAACCGATTAATACTGTTATAGCTTACTATATGGGGTTTTGGGGTTTTGGGGTGCGAGAATCTTTATCTATAACATTGAC